TTTAAGGCTTCCAAATCAGGGAACGTATGTATGCTGCTGGGATTTTTAAATAAATAAACAAAACCAATCAAGTATTTTCAACTACTGACCCACCCACTTTACTCATTGGCCGAGTTAATGTGGCTGTCACTGTAGGAGTGGATCTGTCTGAGGAGAAGAGAACAGCTTTATGGCTCAATTCAGAGAATGTTCCATGCATGTGAAGCCATGTGGGAAGGACTATGGCAACTCTTGTGGCAGAAGTAGAAAAATGAGCATTTGATGGGAGGAGGCCATAATATAAAAGGTAAGGGCTTGCTATTAATGCAGAAGATTATAAATGAGTTATAAATAGTTCAAAGTCCTGTACAAATAAATAAAAAGTGGTGTGGTCTTCCATTACAGTTCTAACATTTTAATTTGTGTTGCAGATGCCTCTTTGGAAACTTGTATACAGCAATATTTTAAGCTCATTAGTAAATGTATCATTTTAAACCAGACCAGGATTTATCTATGAAGCAATAATTTAAGAAATTGTTTTTATGGGAACAAAAAAGGTGGAATGATGCATCAGTGTGAGGGCTGCCGCTGGGTTATGATTAAAGCTGAGGGAAATAAAGGTGAGAGTGATGATTCATCAACAAAGCTTTCTCCAGGTACCATTTGTAAAGATCTAGGATCAGAGGCCACTCAGGACAATCTGTTGCACTAAGTAACGTTTCATTGTTACTCCATCCTCGTAGACTTAGGGCTTGTCTATACTTGTGGCTAAATCGGGACTGCTGTGATTGATGCAGTGCTTTCGATATTATGGGTCTGGTGAGGACAAGCTTAGTTGAGGGCGCTGCTCTCCCATTGACATTTGTACTTTCTCTCTCAGAGAAGCAGAAGTTGGCAGGACAGCATCTCCGGTTGACATAGTGGGGTGTAGAAACCACTACATTATATTGATTTCAGTGACCTACGTACGTAAGTGAAGTAGCATGGCTTAGGTTGACTCACATCTTTAGTGTAAACCAGCCCAGAGGATGGCAGATTTGGCCCCACTCCTCTTCAGTCATAACGGAGAGGCAGATGGGCTAAATGTCACTGAATGGTTTTGTGACCCCTGACATCAGGACAGCTTACCAATGGTGGTGCAGGATTCTTTGAGGAAAATGTAAAAATCAGGATAGATTGGTGTGTAAAAGATTTAGTCCAATTCCAACAGAAATTAATTCAGGAAAGTCCAATGGCCTGTCTTATGATTAGATCATCATAACAGCCCCTCCTGGCTTTACAATCTGGGAGGATTGACGATGGTTGTGCAGTCATTCTTCATTACAAGAGGAGCATTACAAAATGATGTGTTATCTTAAAAGGAAAAAGGTTGAGCTTATAAGGTATTACTGGGAGTAAACTGAAACACTTTTGGTCTGATCTGGGGTATATGCAAAGGTGAAAGTAAGCTGGTGCACCCTGGTGTGGCACACTGGTAAGAGTGTGCCAGCAAGGGGGTGAGGCTCTGGATGTTTCCAACCGCCCTACACAGGTAAGGTTCTTGTGCTGCTGCTGGGCATGGCTGGCTTACCCTCCCATTCTGGAACCATCCTCCACAGCTGGAGCCCAAAACACTCTCCCCAAACGGCCCTTGGCCCCAGCAAGGGGCTGGGATGTCGGGGCTCAGCACACCCAGGCTCCAGTCCCGAAGCTCGGGGGCTGGGAAGTGCTGCTCAAGTCCTGAGATCTGGTGGTTAGGCAGCATGGTTCCCACCAACCTAGGGACCCAGTGGCTGGGCAGCATGATGGCTGTACCCCTAGCCCTGAGCCCTCCCCTCACACCATCAACCTCCTGCACTGAATTCTGCATCCACATTTCTTCCAAGTCCTCCACCTCTATCCTGAGTCCTCCCACATCTCTCAACCCCCTGCCCTGACTCCTGCACTCTCACATCTCCATCCCTACCCCAGGCTTCCCCCCAAACACACACACACACACAACCCCCCCCCCCCACACACACACCCTGCCTTGAGCCCCCGGCACTGTAACCCGCACTTAACATTTCTTACAAGTATTGTTATATCACCACTCTCTTCCCGAACTTCCTGCCCTGAGGGCCCCTCTCTGGGAGGATTGCGATATGACAGCACCTATAAGAAATGTCAGCTACTAAATTTCTCTCCTGGGTGTGTGTGTTTTATAATCAGAGTTGGTTGGGAAGTTATTTCCTTTTCCCCAAATATTTTTGAGAAAATGAAGTTTGATTAATTCTAATTCAAATATTTAGACTGTTGATTTAAAAAAAAATGTAGAAAATGGATTTTTTGTGTGCAAATTTTGTATGGTGGAAAAGCCTTTTTTAGTGAAACATTGTAAGATAAGATTAGATCTTTTGAGAAACAGATTTATAGACTAGTGTAAGGCTGTGTCTTTATGCCATAAGTGGGACGATAAAGGTGTGAAGCAGAGAGCACCCTTTCAAACAGGACTCCATTAACACAAAATAGGTGCTCTGTAGTTTGTACATGGGGCAGTTAGAGTGGAATTTTGTGCTGTGCAATTGACCCCTCCACAGCCAACCCTGCAGGCCTGTGTAGAGAACCTGTGTCTTCCTATCATATTTCATAGTGTGAACAGGGAAACTCATACACTGATTGTTCCCCGTATGCAGGATGAAATATATGTGAGTGGGATTTGATGCTTCTTAAATTGAATATGTGTGGATTTATGGAATGGAATCTTCCATGAAGTGTCCTTCCCACAGATTGTTTTCAAATGTTAACATTTGCATTTTATATATATTACACATAGCTATCCGCTCTGGGCTGCAGTCTACAACATTCTGGACAAAGGACAGTTCATTATGTTTAGTCCTATATTAGCATAAGTGCCATCTCCATGGGTGCTCTGGGATTGGAGCACCCGCAGAGAAAAATTCGCAGGTGCTGAGCAGCCACGCTCCCCCCCTCTCTTCTCAGTGCCTCTTACCCATCATGAAACATGTATTTCACAGTGTTCAGGACACTCCAGGCACGAAGGGAGGGAGGGGAAGAAAGGATGCAGACCCGTACGCAGGAATTTGTGGGGTGGTGCGAGCCGTGGGAGGGACTGGTGGCTGTCCTGCTTTTGTTGCCCAGCACTGCTCCTGGCCTCGCTCCTGGAGAAGGCATGGGGGAGAATCAGCCCCATCCTTCCCCCAGCCAGCACAGGGGAAGGAAGCTGGGGCAACGTCCTTTATGCTTACTTGAAGGACCATGGCGGGGGCGGAGGTGCATTTACACCCTTTGCACCTCTCCTGCATTGGGACCTAGGTGTGCTCAGGGGGAGGAGGCAGGAAAGACACAGCGTGAAGGTCAGGCTTGGGGAAAGGGGTGGAATGGGAGCAAGGTGGTGTGAGCCAGTGGGGGAGGGTGGGGCCAGGAGCACTCCCCCAGACTAGTGGGAAAGTCTATGCTTAGGTTTACTAGAGGAATCTGTACATCTATCCCTATCTGAGGAAACTGAAGCTTCTGCTTTAGTCCCTTCACCTGTAGGGAGAAATAAATCTTACAGTGGGATTGGCCTGATTTATGCTAGGCTCTGCATAGCAGAATCCAGATTAGTTATGCTTTGGCCTAAGACCTTTGGGAAACAAATTTACCTAAACTCGGAACACACTTGACACTCAGAGTTTGGAAGACTCCCATAGATCACAAGCTGTGTATTGCATCCAAGATTACACTACATTTAAATGGATGGGAATGGGGGTGGGGGGGAAGATGTCCAGATTATGTGTAGATTTAGCCATCAGCATTTTAAAGAAAAAAAAACCTTAACTCTAAAAGCCCTCAAAATTACTTTACAATTTCACAATCCCCCTTAACAGAATTATAAGAACTTGATTAAATGTAAAAATGTCTCTTGGAAATTGAGCCACTCTTAAAAGTGACTGCAAAAGAAAAAAACAACCCTTGTTTCTAAAAGAAGAATGATAATAACTATTTGATGTTTTCATTATTCTGGAGAATGCCTTTGGGGACTGAAGAACTGGTGGGATGATGAACTCACAAAATGAGCAACCGGAGGACAGGATTTTTGTTCACAGACATTTGACTCAAATTCTCAACAAACACTTGGGAGAAAAATTTGAGGATGATTCAGTACCCTTCCACTGTCAGCTGTAAGCACAGAACATTACTAATCCAGTTCTCTAGTCTTTAAGGGCTCCACAAAGACAGTGACATTAAGATATTTTCTCATTGTTTCATTGTCTTTCTATATTCATTTGTTGTCTCTTGTCCTTCACTTATAGTGTAAGCTTTTGATGGGAGGTATAGTCTTTTTGCCCAAGTGCTATGGCAATACAAATAATAGTAAGATGAAATATTTCTAATGGGGAAAAGATGCAGAAGGAAAACTTAAACAGACATAAAATTCAAAGGCAGATCTGGAAATAATAAAGCCTATGAAAATAAAAGCTTAGCAGGGATTCTTTAACAGTTTAAATTGGGATTTATGAGTTAGTGAAGGGGTGGCCAACCTCTGGCTTCAGAGCCACATGCGGCTCTTCAGAAGTTAATATGCAGCTCCTTGCATAGGTACCAAATCCAGGGCTGGAGCTACGGGTGCCAGCTTTCCACTGGACCAGAGGGTGCTCGCTGTTCAACCTCCAGCTCTGCTGTAGGCCCTTTTCCCTTAGGATCCTGCCACTTCCTACTCTCTCCACTGAGCCTGTCACACCCATGCTTCCCCCCTCCAGTGTCTCCCACTGAGAAAGAGCTGATCACAGTGGGCAGAAGGAAAAAGGAGAAGGAGGCACTAACCGGTGGGGCTGCCAGTGGGCAGAATATGCTGAGAGTGGTGGTGGGGAGATGATCAGGGCTGGTGACATGTTACTGTTGCTCTTTTATTGGTAAATTCTGGCTCCTTCTCAGGTTTAGGTTAGCCACTCCTGAGTTAGTGGATTAGCAACTAATTTTTAAACTCAAAATGGGTATGTAAGGAAGCCTGAACATGGATCCAAACTTTTTACAAGTTTTGGGTTGTTTGATCAGGTGAGACCCATCCCTAGTTTCAACAGTAGCAAACATGTAATGATTTATAGCAGCCTTTATACAAAAAATAAAATGAATTCTTACATTGATTTCAAAAGATATATTTAAATTGATAAGTAATTAAGATTTTTTTAATATCCCCATATATCTGCTAAAGCAAAAAAGAGTTCCTGGCCAGTTGCATATTTTATGGAGCAAGTAGAGAGAATAGAGTAACCACATTTGAGGGAAATACTGAAACATGCTCTGTAGCTAACCTGAGAAAGAGGTGTTATTTTCCCACATTCCTATTAACTCTGTATTAAACCTCAAGCCTATGTTTAAAAGTTCTCCAACATGGATTTCCCCAAAAGGGCATCTTTTTATATGAAAGGCAAGAACACTGAGCAAGTGAAACTACTCCAGGTCCTCAGGAACATCTGTGTGTCCACACAAAAAAAGAAAAAAGAAAAACCAAAAAAAGAGTTGCTGGTAAATCCAGAAGGTCAGATCGTATTCTCTGGATGCTAACTACTCTTTTGCTGACAGCTCATTTCTAAAAATGGCCTCAAGGATTGTCTTTGTTTTAGTGCTGTGTTTGTGCATTTACTAAATTAAAATATGCTTCACGCTTTGCCATTAGTTGCTGATGAGTTCCTTGTTCTATTATTTTTCCATTGTTAATAACAACAATGACATCTGCATTCTGTACTGTGGACAGCCTGTGAGCAATCACAATACAGGTCCTTCCTTTCCGTGCTTGGTCAAGAGCCTGTTGTACCACCTAGGGAAAAACACAGAAGACATCATGAATTTGGTTTTAGCACTTCTCTCAGAAGTATTGCCCCAATCCAGACAAAATGTGGATTTGTAATTGACCAACAATGCACTTTCACCAGGAATAAAAGTAGTGCATGCAAGACACAGGCATTTTTAACCAATTTTATCCAAGTCTGATCTGAGCAGGATGAAAGAGTAGTAAGGTACCTGCAATGTCTCTATTACACACCAACAATTACGGCCACAATGGGGAATTCTAGCTTTGAATTTGCCTTCTGTGCACACATCCCCAAAGACTTGGCTACATAGGAAAAGACAAGCCTGGACACTTCCATAAGCTAAAAATAAGTAATATCTCTTGGGAGGAGAAGTACATACACAGTCTGCCACCTGTGACACAAACATTTAGAAGCGCCAGAAGGGGGAGCCGAGTTAGTCTGCAGCTGAAAAAACTTAAAGAACAACACATTGTCTAGCAGCACTTTAATGACTAGCAAAATACTTGCATACACAAAGCCATGTTTAAAACATAGGCTTGGTGTAAACTGAACACCTATATCAGCATAGGGGTATGAAAACAAAGCCACCTGCTAGAGTTGTAGCTCTGCTGCCAAAACCACAAGTATAAGTACAGCGAGGTGGACAGAAGACAACTTCTGTCAGCACAGCTAACTTTGGGAGGTGGTGTTCCTTCGCCAGCAAAAAACTCCTTCTGTCAGTGTATGGTGCTTCTATATGAGGGGTGTGTGCTGCAGAGGCCTCGTGTAGAGAGAGCCATAGCTGCCAAGGAGTTTTATAGTGTGACTATAATCATGCCTTGTTTTTGTCTTTCTTTTGAGGGGGAAAAATCCCAACAAAACATATTCTGGACAGTACTGATATTTT